AAAAATTCTTTACTAACAATAATTTTCAAAACAGCATATATTACAGCAGAGGAACTCTGTCCTCTGTAATGAAATATTTTGAACGGTTGTCTCCAAACTCAAAAGCTGCAGCTTTGGATGAGTTGATATCAAAATATGACTATGTTAAAGGTGAGTTCAATTTCCAGTATCGTAACTCATCACAACCTGCAAGTAAAATCGATAGGAAAGCGCCGCACAGATCTAATCTGAAATCTAGTAGAGGAAGAGTATTGTACAATACATTTGAAGGAATCAATGAAAAATACAAGAAGGATAAGGAAATTGAAGCTTTAATGAACAACTCGGCCTTGCAAAATGTCTTTTATGGTATTGATTATGCACCAAGAGGTGTTATTGCTCCTATATGTGGAGCCAGTTTACATGAAATTATGTTGGATCTCGCAGTACTTTCCCGAGTTACTACAAGAATTAGAACTTATGGTATGCAATGTGATCAACCAAATTTTGTGTTGGATGCTTTATTAGAATTGGGTCTTAATATGACACTTTCAATGGGTGTGTGGATTGGTGCAGATGAAAATTTGAATTCAGCTCAATTAAGTGTAATGGAAGATGTATTAAGAAGCTATCCAAGAAGATTGTTTGATTCTGTAATGATCGGAAATGAAGTATTATTTAGACAAGAAAAGTCTAGTAATGATTTGGTTAATTATATTACGAAAACGAAGGAAATATTGAATCGTATCGGATACACAGATTTGCCGGTAGGGACTTCAGAAATTGGATCAAAAATTGATTCTATGGTTTTACAATCTTCCGATATAATAGGAGCCAATGTCCATCCATTTTTTGGAGGAGACGATGTTAAAGTTGCAACGAAATGGACCTTAGACTTTCTTCATAATCAAATTGCTGCTAAAAGTGGAAATAAAAACATTTTCGTTTCAGAAGTTGGCTGGCCATCTGGTGGAGGTAAATATATAAATTCCGTTGCTGATCGAGAGTCTTTAGAATATTTTATTAATAATTGGGTATGTGAAGTGAATAAAAAAGATATTGAATGGTACTGGTTTGAAGCATTTGATGAACCTTGGAAGAAAATATACGATACTCCAAGTACTCAATGGGAAGCACAATGGGGTATATTTACCTCAGATAGAGTATTAAAAATTACATTACCAGACTGTAATGACTATGCTAATTCAACAGCTGTTAATTGAACTTTGCTTTAATTCTTTTTAAATGTTTTAAATATATTGTTTTTACATACATAAATATATGTATTATATATATATATATATGTAAGTTTATTTATTTTTGCTTTTTGATGGATAAATAAATCACAGTTTACTTAATTGAATCATTTTATAATGAAGCCATACCCAAAAAATGACAAAACAACAAAATGATAAAGTGATATTGCCTATAACAAACAAATCTGGATAACGTTTTGGTGGGTTATAAAAAATTTCAAGGAAATGAATTACACCACATGCAATATAACTACCAATTATAATTACTCTCCAAAGGAAATTGTTTGGTAAAGCCATTATAATAGATTTTGATTTAAGCTTGATTGTTAATGTAGGACCAGGGATCACAGAATTTGGTAAAAGTTTACTAATCCAATTCAAATTCCCAATTAACCAATTGCTTAATATGAATAACACATAATACTGTAAAACCAATCCATCTTTTTTCAACAATGGCCAAAGACTAAAATAACATATATTTGAAATCCAACATATCATAGATATCACATTAGGATCATTGTCAACTAATAATAATATTGTTGGTAGTAAAGGAACCAAAACAGATTTTTCATGGACTTGGAAAGAGAAAAAATAAAAAGACCATGAAGTAATTGCAAATCCATATAGTAACAAAATTTTTTTGCTATTATCAATTTTTTTTTGAATAAAAATTAAAATACAGCATGGAAGAAATCCAATTAATGTTAATAATATGGAAAGTTTTTTCAATTGATCAACACTGAAAATTTCTCTATATTTTATAAAAATATTGGTTGTACACCAAAAATTGGCAACTTTATCTTCAAAAATTCCTCTATCAAAGGGGAAAACTCTGTATAAAATTTGACCTATATCTGTTTTTAATCCATTTCCATAAATTAAAAATGGTAAAAACACCATGAAGAGAGTCCATGTAACACTTGATCCTATGGAAACTAATCTTGGTAAATTAATCTTAAAATGTTTTAAATCAATAACACATAGACTTAACAAATAACTGAAGATAAATGGAGCATAATACAATGACATTTGCTTAAAACATATAGATAGTACAAAGAAAATTGAACTCAATTCATAATTGTCATAAAGCAAATTAACAAAACTCAGAAGGGCCAACCCTAACATTACAGAATTATACTGAAAATGACCATGGTCAATGATTATCAAGCAAGGTTGAAACAAAATCAGTGCCGCAATACAGGTTTGGTCAATCGGTGATTGTCCATTGTTTCTTCCAAACCACCTTGTAATTAATATCACCCAAGGAAATAAAAAAAACAATTCACTTACTAAAGAGGTAAACCTCATATAAGATTTCAACGTTAAATCCTCATAACCTCTTGATACCCCTAATTTAAACCACTCCTCGTTACAAAAAAATGATCCAATCTTACCAAAAATCCAAGAATGATACAGTGTCAATGGTGGATAATCCAACCCCCAATAATTCAAATCGTAGAAATACCAATCCTTAAGTGGAAGATTGATTGTTATTTCAAGCCAATGCCTTTGAGCTTCAAAATCACCATACATCGGAGGAGTCTTGAAGCCAGAAAAAGAACCCAACCCAACTGCATACCTTATGATCAGTGCAAATATTATTATAATATATCGAGCTACCCATTGATTTTGAGCTGGCTTGAAAGGCGTAAGAAAATCATGGAGCGGTGATGAATAAAAAGATGATTTCTGTAACTTAGCTCCCTTCACCATGACAAACTGCAAAACCAAGACAACAATTAAGTGACTTGACTTGACTTGACTTGAAACAAATAACTTAACGAAAAATGCTATTTAAATATATAAATGTACTTGATTTTAAGTCGTGGCGAAATTTTTGTTTTTTTATTTTTTAAAATGATATTGATAATTTAAGCATAAATTTTTTTTTAAATGATGATAAAATAAAATCTATATTTAAATTATTCATTATTTATCCGTTAGAATAGAGGGATTATGGAGAGTAAGATCATAAGGATATAACATGAGTAAATCTGCAGATACCAGTTTATTTGGAAGTGATATTTTTTCAGAAAATAACTGTTCAGTTTATTTTTTACCGTATGGAACCATTAGTTTATATGATCAATTTAATGTTTCAGTACTATCCAATGAGACAATCGTTTTTCCTGTGATGTATATAACCAACTGCTCGGCGGAGAGATCAAATGAAGAGATGATGCAATATTACTATCTTTTGGGTGAGCAGATGGTGCAGGCAGGATCTTTATCATCGACAAAAGATATTTTTGGTGGGAACTTGATTTCATTGGCATATGTCTATAGTTGTATATTGGTTTCTTCTATAATGTTGACGGTGTTATTATTCTTATCCACCAATTTCAAGCCCATGAGTCTTAAGTTTACTTGTATTACATTTGCTGCAAGTTGTCTTGTTATAGTTGTGAAGACCACTAATTGTATGAGAGAATTACTGATGTTAAGTTTACAAGATAGTTCTGAGTTTAGATTGGAAATATTAGTGAGTAATTATTATTTAATATTAAACATTATTATTGAACTATTTGTATGGATTGCATATTTGGATATTTTACTCTATTGTTTTAGCAATAACAAGAAATTTCAATTTAGAATAAAAATTGCAGGTTCTATATTAATTTTATTCCATTTGATTTTCACAACTTTAGACCTGTTTTTAAACAAAACTATTGGGGATTTGACAAAGGCAAATGCTATAAGTGTTATTAATATTATTTCTCAGTTGATGTTACAATTTTTATTTATTATAATATTTATTTCCTTTACTTTAAGGAAACTTAAATTTTCTTATAATTTGAAAACTTTTAAATTTTCAATAGCAACTTTGTTTTTAATCTTTCTTCCTATTGTGTTTTTCATATTGGCAAATTTTTCAAAAAGTATTAGGAACTGGTCTGATTTATTTTATAAATTCATCAAAGTCTTGGTTTGTTGTTTGATATGGGAATGGATTTATGATATTGAAGTTGTTGAAAAAGATTTTGAAGCCCATGGTATTGTTGGAAGAGAAGTAGATGTTGCAGATATCTTGGATAAGGATGATAATGACTATGGAAAACGTTGGAAAGGAAAATTTATGAAAAATAAAAAGTCAATTAAAAAATATTCTTATATCGATATAAAGGATAAAGATGGAATCCCTAATGATGTTTCAATTCAGTCTACAGAACATGACGGAGATGAAGATGATGAACAAACGCAATCAGAAATAACTTTTAGAAGTGGTACAACTTCTGTGATGGATAACCATGAAGATGAACTAGAAGATGAATTATATTCGAACGCTGTTCTTCATGATGATGAAAGCATTAACAATAATAGTATTGACCATAATGAAGACCAAACTTCCTTGCCAAGGTTTGAAGTACATGAAGGTTTCCAAATTGGCGATTACTGGTTAGACGAAAAAACTGAAACACAAGAGGGATGCAGTAACAATAGTGGTAGTGGTAGTGGTAGTGGTAGTGATAATCTTGGCTCTACTAGTAATAATAATAGTGATGATATAGTACAAACAGCAAATGTGTAATGGTATAAGAGAGGGTTTTTTACATGACTGATTTTTAGGAATGGTTGTTTTTTTTTTTCTTGTTTTTTTATTTAATTTAGAACATAAATATATGGAATGAAAATGTATACCAAGGAGTTCATATTTATAGACCAGCGATAGAGGAGAACTAAATCATCGGTTGAAATTATATTCCAACTGATTTTGTTTTCATACATACAACTTAGGACAATGAACACCTTCTCTTGTAATCGTTTGGAGGGTTGGCCGAGTGGTCTAAGGCGGTAGACTTAAGATCTACTGGACAGACGTCCGCGCGAGTTCGAACCTCGCATCCTTCATTATTTACACTTTTTTTTTTTAATTTTTCTTTTAATATATATTTTTCACTACTGTTCTAAACTACTAGGCTACTAACCATTAATATTGAATTTATTTACTGTATAATTTTACAAATCTCAATACTCATTTCAATGACCTCTCTATCGCTATCGTTATGTCTGATAAGTTTATTTAGGGATTCTTTTAATCCTTCAACCTGCTTAAGACCATCCAATTTCGTTCTCTCAGACAGTATTGACTGAACTAAATTTAACAAAATGTAAACTGCTCTCAATACCAAGTCATGTTCATGTGATTCTGTATTCAAAATGTCAACCAAATTATGTACAATTTGAAATTCTTTTTCAAACTCGAGTATTACTAGACAAATAAATTCATAAGACTGTGTAACATTTGCAAAAAAATTTAAAGTAGCCACTTGGATTTTTAAATCATTTGACATCATTAAGTTACTCATTATTTTTAAATTTTTTTTCGAATCGATTGACTCAAAGTTGAAAAATTTTTCAACTAAAATGGGGGATATGATTAAATTTGATAATAATTCCAATGCAGATACAGCAATTGAACTATTTGAATCTAAAATCAAATTTTGTAAATTTTGATCGAAAGATATTTTAATAATTAAATTCTTAATGTTCATGTTTTCCAATGAGGATAAATTAGTTAAAGCCAAAAGTGCCTCAAAAGTGTCCAAATATGTTAATTCTTCAGAAAAAGGATGTGAGTTGTCACTTGATTTCAATAACTCGACTAAGAATGGAACTGGAGTTAAGGAAGAAATTTCTTTAAAAAGCAAATTTGGGTCATTGTTAATCAAGATTTTGGCTAATGATCTTACTGCAAATATTCTAAATTCAAGATATTTTATATCTTCAAAATTTTTTATGTTACCAGTCTTTTCATATTCCAAATTCTTTGATGTGTTAATCAAATAGTCCAAGATTAACTTCAAACCCCCTTGTTCAACAACAATTGGCCTGAAAGTTTTATCATTACATAAATTATAAATCAACTTCATTAATTGATTATTGGCCCCAATACTGTTTCTTTCCAATTTCAAATTATCAAGAAATTTATGGGTTAACAATTTTTTAATGAATCTAGAAATATCTTCATCATCATCTTCAGTTGCTTCTTTATTATTGGAATCCACATTATTCAAATTAGCATGATCTTTTAAAGATTTAAAAGATTTCTGTTCCTGAGTTCGTATAACATTATATGTAGTTACATTTGTCAATATAACAAATATTCCATAAACTATAGAAGAGTCTATTGCATCTTTATCGTTGCTAAATGATTTTATGTATTTCATAATAAATTTGAAAAATAAATCGTTATTTCTTAATTTCTTTTTAATATCAATTTTCAACGAAATATAAGCTAAACCTTCGATGCTCAACGTTATAAGTTCTAAAATATTTGAGTTATTATCATTTGTATCATCATACTCAAATGCTTCCATGAGATTCTCATATAATTGAATCAATCCAATTTTATCTTTTAAATCTTGTAAAGTTTCCAATTTGATAAAATTCCAATTTTTCAAAATCACCAATGAGATCAAAATTTTCAATTTCAAATCTTGATATTTGCTAAATTCTCCATCATTGAATAATATCAAACCATCAATCAAAATTTTAAGATAATTTTCGGCTATAAAATTTCTTGATTGCACATTAATACATGAAGAAGAAAACAATTTTAAAATTGATTCCAATTTCTTTAAAGACAGTAAATTTTTAATATTTTTCAAAGAAACATCTTTAATTATATCTGCTATTTCATTGTTTAAAAATTCAATAAATCTTGCATTGGTAATGAAAAAATTTGCAGCAAAATCAGTTAATATTGGAAATAAATAATTTAATAAATTGAATAACAATAAAGCATCTTCGTTAGTATCTGCGATTAATATCAAATTATCCAAATAATCTGCTAATGTTTCTTGTAATAATTTACCATTCAATTCGCTTAATTTGATTAAAATTAATAAAATATTTGTATGGAAAAATGGATCATTAAAGTATCTCAAGATGTAAGGTATAAATTGATGAAATAAAGATCCAGTATTAGGAAGAGTTATCAATGATCCTATAAGAAATAAATAAAAATTGACCTTCTCTCTATCTTTAATACCAAATTTGAATTGTAATTTTAGTGTTGCTGCAAACTTATCTAACAATTTTGAACAAGTTTCTTGATCTTGGTTTAATAATAATCTTATCAGGTAATCATAAACTATATTTGTTGTTGATTCAATTTTTTCAGATGTTAATTGGAAAAGCAAATTTAAATAAGTTTCAGCACAATAATTATTTCCACTTAACTTTATGACCAATTTTTTAGAAAATTCTGAATTATAATCAGTAGCAACTGTACCAATTTTCAATAATTGATAAACATTCAAAAGTTTTGTGCCTTCTTTAGACAAGAGTAGTTGGTCTACCAAAATTGACGATTTTTCTCCATTGTTGATAGCCATTTTCAAATACGACTTATCACCATCATCACTAATAGCTATAGTCTTGAAAGAGTTTATGAATTTTTCAAACTCTGTTTCACCTGGCATCTTTCAATAATTTATTTCAAATGTGGTGATTATATGAATTTTTGATATTTTATTATTATTATTTTTATTATTATTATTATTTAAATAGTTTACATGGAAAACAGTAGTGCCTACAAAAAAATACATACATCAAAATCGTTAAAATTAATACATAAAACATCTCTATCTATACCAAGCAATGAATCAAATCATTTCTTTTTCCTTCCCTTTTTGTTTGCATTATTATTACTATTTGCCATTATCACAGCACAGTCTGGACAATACCAAGTACCTTGTGGAGGTTCTTTTAATCCAACACAATCATAATGAAACCATTCATATTTACAATTTGCGTTATCACAAGCAATCATATTACCAAAAGAAACTTGGCGACAAAAGCAGTATAATTCGTCCTCTTCACCACCTGTAGCACCACCATGAACAATAAGGTTTATATTACCATTTAATGGTTTATGTGCAGAGTTTGGGGTATTTGCTGAAGATGCTAGTACTAAACCTTTACCATTATTTGTTGAAGTTGTAGGAAATGTAGAACCATCAAGACCAGTAGTAGCAGTTATATCAGCCACTGAAGATCTTTTTAGGGTTGAAGACAATTTATTATTAATATCATTATCTGATAATTCATCAGTTTTAAGTTTCTTTGTTGGTCTACCACTTTGATATAATCCATTTGTCAGTAATGAAGGTGTTGAAGTTCTTGAAATTGATGCAGAAGATTGATGACCTCCTCTTCTTGAAAGAGTTCTCTTATGACCATTAATCAGTGCTGATCCCATCAGCATTCCTGTTGTTGAAGTTGAAGTTGGAGTTGCTGATTTTCTATCGCTTCTTAAAGATAAGCCATCAAGCAGCATACCACTACCACCTACAAATGACAGTAAATCAGATGATTCATGATCCAATATTTCATCCATTGGTGCTATTAAACCTTCCTTTTCAAGTCTTTCAATTTCATCTTGTAATTTTGTTAAATGTTGTGTCACAGAAAATAAAGCTGTATTTGAAAAAACTAATTTTTCTTCTTGTAATTTAAATGCTTTTTCAAAATCTTCTTCAATTTTACTATAAATTTGTTGTTCCTTAGGATGTTTTGTTAATGAACCATGTAATCGTATAAATTTATGTAATTGATTATCTCTTTGTTGTATTCTCTTTCTAGTATCATAATATTTCATATCTTTCTCTCGTAATTCTGTTAACAAGAAAGTTAGCTCAGCGGGTAAATTCGACACTAATAAAAAATAAAAATAAAAATAAAAATAAAAATAAAAACAAATACGTTAGTATGTATGAACAACACAACGAAAAAAAAATATATATATATATATATTAATTACTTACAGTCCTGAGTGAACTGATCAAGAACAGTAGCAGCATCCATATTTGAAATACAACTTCAGTTCTACTTAATACACAAAAAAAATAATTAAATAAATATATATTTAAATAAATAATTAGATAAAAGAAAAGAAAAAACTAAAAAAAAAAAGATGTTTTTCGTTATTTAAAAAATAATTTTTTTTTTTTTTTTTTTTTGAAAAAACTAAAAAAACTAGTATGAATTGTACACTACTTTTTTTGATTTCTATTTCTCACTAGTGGAAGATAGCTAAAAACGTCTAAATAACTTGGATCTGGTGAGTTAATTGTATCGATATGATTTAATGATTCAGCCAGTGACAGGTTTAATTTTGTTTTATTTCCAAAATTGATCAAATATTTTTCAATGATCAATGCATTTCTGCTATTTGCCTTATAACCAACTTCAATTAAGTCACCTACAATTGGTATAAATCCTAATAAGAAATCCACCATAATATTTGCCAAGAGTTGTAGATGAATAGTTATTGGTAATTTCATTGAAAATTCAAATACCATTCTATATAATAATATTGAATTTATAACTGAAAGACCTGATCCAATTACTGGAATCAGTCCCAATAAACCATTCCAACCAAACCTTAAACCAATAAAACTAAATAACATATCCAAATGATACGACCTTCTTTTAATTTTTTCAAAAATTTTTGCATCTTGCAGAGATAAACCTTTTGGAATTTGTCTTTTACGTTTTATTTTCTTTGGTGGATCAATTCCATTTTGCGAAGGAATTATTACTTCCTCATAATATGGGTCTTCGGTGAAAAGCTTATTCCAATGATTTTCTTGAAACACCTAAAATTTTAATTTAATTTAATTTCAAGATTGGTATGTTAGAAAAAATATTATTACTTTATAAAATATTGAAAAAAAAAATTATTTCTTACTTTACGTGTTGCCAACTTTAGTATCCATGTTAACATTATTTCTTAATTTTTTTAATTTCGTTAATTTTCAAAATTCAAGCGAATAATGAAAATTAAATCAACTATTTATCTATATACTATTAAGAAATCCATTATTGCTATTATTCTTTTCAAG